TAAAAAAAAAAAAATGTAATTTCTTTTTTTTTTTTTTTTTTTTTTTTTACATATTTTTATAATTTCAATATTTAAATAATATAATTCAATGTTAAAGATAGAAAACGTTGCTTAAAAATGCATCTAGCTAGGTAGTTTGATACATAATTAGGAATTAAGAAAACATAGATGCTGCAAATTGCTAAGGGGATTTGGTATGTGCTCATAATTAATTTTGTAGTGGGTAGTGCAATTTTGTTGTCAACTAAAATTGTTATATACAATATAGTTATATTATTTTGTATGGTATTTTTAGGTGAAGTCCCATTTAGTTGCTCGAGGGGATTGTCCATTTGTTGGGATTATTGCATGATAGTTCGAACAAATGATTCACTTTTCACTTATCTAATTAGTTCTTCCAATTTTGATTTGACCGATCCATCTACTTCCTTCGGCTAGTAGCCAACTAACAAGTCCCTTGTAGGCCTTCCATATTTATTATTTCAACTACATGTCATTTTGGTCTAAATTGGACATCTACATGCTCCACGAACCAACTTTTACATGAAATATTGTAATGAAAATATTTATCATTTATCATAAAACAATAAAAACATAGAAATGAAGATAGAAACATAAAAAATTACATTTATATGTGTAGTCTTAATCTAGTCAAGAAATATTAGTAATTTAGGGATCCACTTTTGGTGATTCTAGGATTAGGTCTTGTATATTGTACAATTAGGGAATTTCTTAATGAATAGATCCAAAGCAAGGTATCGTGTCTTCCTTAATAATGTTACAAAGGCTAGGGAGTAGGACGAGAATGGCCAAACTTTTCCCAAGGCAGATATTTGTCAATGGGAGCACCCCTTTTAGGAAAATTATATATGTGCTGCTAAAAAATAAGTTAATGAAATTGCAACGAGAACCATATGTTGGAGATATATTCAATAACTAGAAAATGAGGCTCAAGCAACGGCCAAGTTCTCATTGACAAATGTCATTCCTTTTTTTTTCGTGGATTACCTATGGGCTGCCCATCGGAACAGAAAAAAGCTATTTAAATAAATAAAATAATAATTTTCTTGTGCCCATCACAAAATTTCCCTGCAAAATTGCGTTTTAGTGAAGGACAAATGAGCATCACCGACAGTTTTCCATCGCTGAAACCTCATTTTTTAGTAGCATTAATGGTGCAATTTTCCCTTTCTATTTTTTGTATTATCTATTTTCCCAGTCAGAAGTATACAGTTGAGAATGAAAATGCCCCATCAGTACCCTCAACTCTCCCAATACAAATATTTATGGCTTGCATGATTAAAGTTTGACTCATAACTTATAATTAAATAATCTTTTTCATAATTTTTAATTACTCAATCAAAGAAGATCATACATGGTGGAGCAGTTAAGCTTCAGTATCTCCTCATACACTCATGTTCTGAAATTTTTTTCTTCTGCATGCTTAGTGGATCTTGCTTTGACTTGGGATTAAAGATATCGTGTCTAAAAGCAACAATGTCAATTTACTTTTTTTTTTTTTTTTTTTTTTTTTAAATTTTTTTTATATTTAAATATTTAAAAAATATAATTAGAAACATAAAAAATTACATTTATATGTGTAGTCTTAATCTAGTCAAGAAATATTAGTAATTTAGGGATCCACTTTTGGTGATTCTAGGATTAGGTCTTGTATATTGTACAATTAGGGAATTTCTTAATGAATAGATCCAAAGCAAGGTATCGTGTCTTCCTTAATAATGTTACAAAGGCTAGGGAGTAGGACGAGAATGGCCAAACTTTTCCCAAGGCAGAT